TTCCCTCTCTGTCTCGCTATCTCTTTCACTCTCTCTCTCACTCTCTCTCTCTTTCTCTCTCTCTCTCTCTCTCTCTCTGTCTCCCTCTCTCACTCACTAAAAAACGTACGTGGTGAAGCTACTAGGCACTAACACAACAATACGCAGAAGACATGATATCGATTCCCTTGTAGGCGCTTCTCGCTCTTACAATTAAAGAAGACTGAAGGAAAAAGCTCGCAAGTTAAGGGCTGATAACTATAACAGCAGCAGCAGGCACAACAACAACACAACAATAATAGCAAAAAGCAACAATATAAAAAGCAACAGCAACAATAGCAACACTGTCATCCTTCCTGAAATACTATTTTGGTTTTCGTTACGGCAAAGTGTTGGGCATTCGACTTATGTACCACCAAACAATCTTTGATTCAGCATAAGAAAAGGGAAAGGCTCTAAATTCCTGATCATTAAAATGAAGAAAGGCCCTTGAACCGAATGAAACACGTCTGGAAAAAACCGCTAAAAGTTGCCGCTTTGAGCTCCTTTACACTGTTCTGAAGTGTGTCACCAATAAGCCTGTTTTGGGCTAACTGTTTTTCTATTCTTTTAAAAAAAGGGGGGAAAGAAGTAAAGAGAAGAATGGACCCCCCCCAAAAAAAAAAAAAAATCAGAAAAAAGAAGGGAGAAGGAAAGAAGATTTCCTACAACGGCAAGAGAAAATTGAATTATTATCAACATGATTTTCCTTTTCTTGTTCCCAGGCTCACGCCAGAAGGACAGTGTTCTTCGTGATGCTGGCCGGCCTGGCGTGGACAGACTTACTGGGCCAACTAGCCACTGGACCTGTCCCTATTATCATGTATCTTAACAACCTCCAGTGGGTGGGCGGAATGCCCTTGTGTATCTATCATGGCTTCATGATGATCTCCATCAGTGTTGTGACTCATCTAATCGTGGGCTGCATGTCCCTGGAGCGTTTCCTCGCCATCCGCTTCTCCTACTACTACGCCAGGCGAGTGTCCCGGTTCAAAGCCCAGATGACGTTCCTCATCTGCTGGGTGGTCACCTTACTCTTCGCCAGCCTTCCTTTCCTCAACTTTGGCAGTTACGAGCACCAGTTCCCCGGCAGTTGGTGCTTTCTGAGTTTCCATTCCAACAGCACCAGTGATGCAATCTATGCTGGCTCCTTCAGCATGCTCAACATCGTCTCCATCATTATCATGATTGTGTGTAACACCACCGTGGTCATAACCCTTATACAGCTGCGTCGGAGACGTAGTCTAAATAGCTCGCCTTCAGTAGACAGACGTCTGTCGTTTTTGGGTCTGGGCAATAGCTACAGTACCAACATGCAGGGCAGCGTGATCCGGAGGAAGAAACATTCCGACATGGAGGCACAGATGATTTGGTTCCTGAGTCTCATCACTGTGGCTTTCAGCGTCTGTTGGCTGCCTCTCAGTGTAAGATAGTGCAAAAATATTATGTGATCTTGTTATCGAGTCGTACTGTTGTGTCTTGTTGTTGATTTAGTTGTTGTAGTGATAGTCGTTGTTGCTGTTCCTACATGTAGTTTGAATTCTAAAAGGGGGGGGGATTTTAAAGGTTGGACACACACACTCGCACATACGTACGCACACGCACAAGCACACACACTCCTCACACACACACACTCACACACACTCACTCACCACCAC